GCCCATGAGGGTGGGGAATTTCCAAAGAACTAGAGAACAAGGAAGCAGGTGTCTTTGGATAAGGGTCATGATTAATAACCAAACTCAACTGTGAAAAAAAGGGGAAGAGAATAAAAAAAGCGCGGCGGCAGTCTCTCTGAGAGGCTCCCGACTCTATCTCTGCGTCTTTCGTTTTCTTCATCCTCACTCCCCCATTCAGGTGCTGTTCGACAAGTGACGGCTGGCTCCGTCACTGGTATAAACATTGGCACGCATGTATCACTGTAGTATGATATCTTAAGCTCTCTGGGAAAGATACCTAGAAGGGGGATAGCCAAGTCATATGGAATTTCTTATTTTAGTTCTTGGGAACTCTCCATAATGATTTTCATAATGGTTGTACTAGCTGACTTCCCCACCAACAATGTAGGAGGGTTCCTTTTTCACCACAGTCATGCCAGCAGTTGTTAAGGTTTGATTTCTTGGTGATTGTCCTTTTTTCTGGAGTAAGATGGAATTAATTGTTGTTTTAATTTGCATTTCTCTGATGGCCAGAGATGTTGAACATTTTTAAAATATATTTCTTGACCGTTTGTATTTTTTTCTGTGAAGTGTCTATTCATTTCTCTTGCCCGTTTCTTGATTGGGTCTTTATAGGTGGTTGAAGTTTTTGAGTTATTTTTATAGTCTATATATTAGGCCTCTGTATGAGGAGTAGCTGGAAAAATTTTTTTCCCGTTCTGTAGGTTGTCTTTTCACTCTACTAATTGTTGCTTTTGCTGTACAGAAGCTTTTTAGTCTGATATAATCCCATTTGTTAATGCTTGCTGTTATTTCTTGTACAATTGAAGTTGTGTTTAGAAAATCTTCTCCTACACTTATATCTTCAAGTGTTTTACCTACTTTATCTTCCAGTAGGTTTAATGTTTCTGTTTAGATCTTTGATTCATTTTGATTTTAATTTAGTAGATGGTGACAGATATGGATCCAGTGTCATTCTTCTGCAAATAGATACCCAATTTTCCCAGCACCATTTTGTTGTTGTTTGTATATTCTTTTATTGGTACATTTTAGATGTACGATATAATGATGTTCATCATTGGAAATTTGCACCTTTATATAATCTCTCTTGGTTCTTATTTTTCAACCTTCCCCTGCCCTCCCTTCAACCCCTCCATCCCTCCCTATTTACAAAGAC